ACTAATGACTTCCTGCAGTGGGATATTTAGTTTTCCATCTTTCATAGCTGACAAGAGTTAAGGAAAACTAACAACAGAACTATATCCGAATATATTTTATATTTAAAATCTTTAATATATTTGGAATTTATTTTGATGTTAACCTCCCTACTCCCCTGCCATTTTCTGAATAATCCATTCTTTCCCCAAGGATTCGCAGTGTTATCTCCATTTTATGCTAAATTCCTATCTATACTTAGATCTGTTTCTGGGAATTTTTTATTCTGTTCACTTGATTTGTCTGTCTATTCTTGTATTAGTATATACTGTTTGTAATTACTGAAGCTTTATAATACAATTTAATATCTGGTACAGCACATTCCTCTTCATTATTCTTCTTTTTCAAAACTTTTGGCAGTCTCTCACACATTTATTCTTCTAGATGAAGTTTAGATTAATTTTCCAGCATTAAAAAGAACACTATTGGATTTTTCTCTTGGAATTATGTTAAATTTTTAGGCAAACTTGGGTAACATTGACATTTTCACTTTGAGATTTCATATCTAGGAATGTGCTGTTTGTTCCCATTTATTCAGATTCTCTTATGTCTCTCAGCAAAATTTTATCCTTTTCTTCCCAGAGATCCTTCCCAAACTGTTTTAAGTTTGTTCCTAAATATGCTATACTTTCTTCTTGCTCTTGTATATGAGATATTCTAGGTTCTCTGGATACGGATAGCACAGCTGGAGGTATGCTTGGATTTCCAAGGTCAATACATATTTGCCCCTATTTTTATTTTCCTTTGGCTATTGCAGTAGAGGGCGGGAGGGAGGCTTGGGTGTACTTCAGATGCTTCCCTGCTAACCTTGGGGTCCCTCCTACCCCTGCCTCTACGTGATGTGGGTCGCCATGAAGGAGTCTTTCCTTTTGCATACATTAGCTTTATATATAAAGTCCTTGCTAATTTTTTAAATGTAAAAAATGGTACCTTTAGCATAAGCAAGATCTGTGTTTCCGTAGAAAATGGGTTAGATTTTCCATTAAACCTTTTAATGACAAAAGATAACCATTTTCTTTAAGGAAGAGTCCAGTGAATTGGATTTTACCAGATAGCCTCTATCTACCTAGTGAGACACTTTGAGTTCCCTATTGATTTTAAAAGGAATATTATGGTGCTATAATTATCTGTGTTTGTCCCTGGTAATTATCCATCTACAGAGGAAGCTAGGGTTGAATAATAACTGCTACCGTATGTGGAGCACTCCATGTCAGACTCTGCCTAGGGGCTTCTGTATCTTGTCTCGGTTAATACTCACAATGGCCCTCTCAGGTGTTGTCATCCTCCCTCTACTGCTGAGGACACGGATGCTACATGGAGTTAAGTAATTTGCTCAAGGTCACACAGGGAGTAAGCAGCAAAGCCAGGATCCCTAACTTTTCCTCTTAATCACTACACTGTTTGGTTGTATAGTGACTGACAGATTCAGAATATAAAAATAATTAAAAACAAAAATAAAATTTGAGATACTTAAAACTCACTGAAGAGAAGCTATAGTTTGTACCTAATTGCATTATCACTAGTTATAGGCCACACTTAATTCTGACTATAGCTCAGATCAAAGATTGGTTTCTTTATGCTACTGTAGACCAAAGATGTAGTGGTCCACTCAGAATAATAAAAGCGATATTTCTGAAGAGTCAGCAGGTGATGTTTGTCAAAGTTCATGACCTAGGTACAAAGCAGTTGGATCAGCGCAGAAAGAAGAGACAGTCAGGGGCACAAGGGAGCCAGGATTTGGCACAACCCTTTTCTGCTGGGAGTGGGGAGCTGGGAGGCAGCTCTTGACAACAGAAAGACTGTCAGAAGATGTGATGGGTGGAGATCCAAGGAGGGGTCAGATCAAGGTATCGCGTGGCTTCCTGTTGAGGATATGTGGCAAAACCCCTGCTAGTTCCCCAAAGGGGAGTTAGACCTGGTTCAAATGGGTCACTAGGCCCCTCCTAGAGGACCAGAGCCCTGGGCAGGGGAATAGTTAGGACTGAGGAGAGAGAGCTGAGACAAGTGCTTGTCCTATGTGTTTCGGATCTGGGCGTTCCGTGGGTGCTCAGGGCTGGCTGAAGGATTCCAGATCCCAGGATGGGGGGGTGTAGTGTCTCAGGGTTGAGGGTCCTCAGTGGGAGGTGTTACACAGGGGTCTGTTTGCTTTTTTACCTGGTTCAGGAATCGAATTTCACTACTCGATGATGGAACTGAGCCTGCATCATATACCTCATCCCTCCGCTGTGGTTGGCCCAGGCACCAGCCTGGGGAAGTGTCTACAGGCGGGTGGCAGGTGGGCAGCCATGAGGCTGGAGCAGTGAGGCGCTGGAGAAAGCCAAGGCAGCACTGCCAAAGGCAGAAGTTGGCTTTGGATCTCTGCAAAAATCCAGACAGTGCTCTGGTCCTACTTTCATAGAACTGGGCCAGAAAACACTGAATGAACATGTATTACCCTCAGCTCAAATTAGTCAAATTGCTTATTTCTAGTTTCACAACTGGGAGTGTTCTTTGGAAACCCACATTTGGGTAGTGAAATTGTACTTTCTGGGCTAGACTCCTTGTGTAACTAGAAATGACGATGCATGAGAAGATGACTTTATTATATTTTTATCTGTAGACAAACTTCCTAAAAAATTTACCTACTCATATCTGTAGATAAACCCACATTGTAAAAGGACTAATGTGACACTGTTCTGAATCATGCAGTCTTTGCAAATAACAAGCAAGCTGAAAAATGTCTAATTTTTGAATTTTTTTCTAATTTGAAAATTAATCTATAAACTTTGTAATGAGAAATAAGTTGGATAACTGTATAAGTGACTAATTATGCTTTCTCATGGTGTTTCTAATAATATCTATTTTCATGGCTCTTTTTGAAGAATATTATCATCCAATGTGAACAAGTACATTTTACATACACAGGTTCTGGTTTTTTTCCCCTCATGCAGTAGTGAGAGGAGCAGCCTTCTAGTGTGAGTCTTTGCTTGTGGCCACTCCACATGGACAGGTTTTCAGAGCAAGTGAAGTCTTATAAAATAGTAAGGCATTTGTACCATTCAGTCTTCCCAGCTCAGGAGCGAATGCTGTGCTCCTCGAGTTTGTCGAGGCTTACAGGGCCCTTGAGAGTCTAGGACAACTCCTTCAAGACTCAGAAGAGAAAGGAGGCTCAGAAGATGTCTAATATACCACTTGTTAGATCTGCCTTGGGGGAATATCCTGAAGTCTTGATATGAAGGGTGTGAATTGACTTCCTCGATCAATATCATGCCTGTTGACGTGTCTTAGAGCTTTCGGAAGCAGTTTTCTTTTGGTCCGCATTCCCAACTTTTGCTTTTAAGAGGGAAAAAAAGGCAAACTAAGCTTTAAGGTTGTCTCCCAGTTCAGCTGCAGGGTAGCCTCCCAGGCTCCCAGGAGCTCTGCTCCAGGTGGTTGTGTGTGGGCGGTAGACCCCAGGACCCCGACCACTGCTGAAGGTGTACAGATGGACTCTGTCTTCAGGAAACTTCAAGTCTAGTTGAATAGATGATGGAATCTATTCAGCAAACGTTTATTAAGCATGCAGGAGAGGGGACACTGGCAACACAGCAGTGATTAAGCTGCAGCCCCAACTTTCTAAGGAGTTTGCAATGAATGGTTAAGTAACAAATACCAAAGGATTCTGGCAGAACGGTGGACTTCCCAGTGAGTAGTATAAACAAACAAGTAATCAGAAAATGGAGGAATCACTATAGGCTGGAATGACCTGCAAAGGCTTGAAGGAGGTGGTGGACTGAAGCCAAAACTCTTGGCCATTTCTCACATTCATGGAATCTGCTAGGTTCTAGAATAAGGCCCAAACCAAGGTTTCAGTGAAGTGTTAATCACTTGCCAAAATTTTAGGGACTCTTGTGCTTCTGGTCCGTCTGGGACTAGAGGCTCTCTCTTCAGTGGGCCGCTGCAGCTTCTGCCTCAGCCAGCCGTTCTCCCTCTCCCGCGCTGTCCCATCCCGCCACACTCCAAGGCCTACCTGTGGTTCTCTCCAGCTGCCCAGCATGCTTGTTCGTATAGCAATACCAATGATGTACTTTTTCCTTATTTTTAAAAAATCTATTTAACTTTTTGAATAGCAGTAGTTTACGTGGTTGAAAAACCAAAAAGAATAACAAATCATTCATTAAAAATTCCCCTCCTTGCCCCTGTCTGACTATTCCGTGACTTCTCTCTGCCCAGCCACTGTTACTAGTTTCTTGTGTATCATTCCAGACTTTCTTTCTGGCTATGTTTTCAGGAAAACATGAATATAAATAACCATTTTTACCCAAAGATAGCATATTGTATGCACAGTTTGATATCTTGCCTTTCTTCACTTAACAACATACTTGAGAGTTCTTTCCTAATAGTACACAGAGCACATTCTCATTCTTTTTTAATAGCTGCATAGTACTCCATTATATGGATATACCATAATCTATTTAACCAAGTCCCTACCGATGGTTATTTGGGTTGTTTCAATCTTGGTCATTACAAATAAAGCTGTAATGAATAACCATACACATGTCATTCACATGTGTAAATACTGCATACAGCAATGATATAGTTAACAGCGATTTAGTGGGTCTGAGTGGAGAAAGAGAAGTATTGGTTACAAAGATTCTCACCCTGGCATGTCATCATTTTCTGAATTTGGATGTTCTGTGGGTCACATCATAACCCAGAAACCTGGAGATAACCTGATAAATGTGCCTAATAATAGCAGGTGTTAGTCCCTACCCCGACAGCTGTATTGTAAATAGACAACTTTAGAAAACCTTGGGTTTTGCTTCGCCTTGGTTTTCACCAGAGTTGTCTCATTTCAAAGGATATTTATTTGGCCAGAGGTCATTGGTGGCATTTGCCATCACTGGGCCTGGGCAACCTCATACTCTTCTAGAACTTGTTCTTCCAGGGTGCCTTCTGGCCCACTGTGAAATTCTCAAATGCCACTATGATCTTGTTTTTGTAGACGGGCCCATCTTCGCTTGTGCCTGGAGAAGTTGAAGGGGCTAGTGCCACTTGGACCCGAATCAAGTCGACACACTACATTGAGTTTATTAACAAAAGCCAAATTGCACATAAAGGTAAGTGTATCCTTGGGATACCTTTTATCTTTATCTGTCCAGTAAGGGTTTGTCTGTTATGAGCGACAGCAAATGTATGCCTCCATGACAGTCCTCTCCTCTGAACTCCTGCAGCCCGCCTCTTGGATGAATCACAGGCACCCCAAACTCAACATGTCCGGAACCCAACTAAGTATCTCTCACCCCTATGCACCAGAGGTTAAATGGTCCATCCAGCTGTCCATCTGACTGTACAAGCCAGAAACTCATCCTTGGTAGCTCTTGCCTCTTAGCTATCTCATTTAAGTCATCTCCAAGACCTAAATATTTCACAGCCTGGTCTACTTCCATTTCACCCCACCATCATCTACTGCAATAAACTCAGAGGCCTCTCTACATTCCTCTGGCCTCCCTCCAAGCTAATCTCCATGCTTCCCAAGAACAGTGCTTCCAAAGCTCAAATCAGCATGTCACCCTGTTTAAAATTCTTCTGTGGCTTAGGACACACTCTGTCACCAGGCCTGCCTGACCTGGCCCTCACCTGCCTGTGCAGCAGCATCTTGTGCCTTACACTCCCCTCTGCTCCAGCCCTTCTTTCAGTCCCTTGCACTTGTCATGCTCTCCTACCACAGGGCCTTTGTACTTGCTGCTCCCTCTGCTTAGTACACTCTTCCCTCCCTCCTTCCCCAGTTAACTTCTTGTCATCCTTCAGATCTTAGCACAGGTATCACTAGCTCAGGGAAACCTTCCTGATGCAGTCACCTCCTTCCTGCAACCAGTGATCCTATTATTGGGTATCTCTTTGTCACCACTTGTCACAGTTGACATCTGACCGTGGTTTGCATGACTGGTTGTCTCCATCTTTAGAACGTAGACTCCACCAGGGAGGGGACTGGGTATTTGTGCTCACCTCCTATCACCAGCACCTTCCAGAGGGTCTGAAACAGAGTCGGCACTCAGTACGTAGCTTGACTAGCAAAGGGTGAGGGAGTTGTATTCAGACTCCTGAGAGCCACACCAAGATCACTGTGCAGCATGTTTATGTGGTCATGATTGGACAAATATCACTTGAGTTATGGTTGGTAGCCTGCACAGATGACAATTCTGGGGGAACAAGTACCTCTGTTTAGAGCAAAACAACCATAATTAAACAATCTTCTTAATTATCCGAAGAATATGAGAAGCTAGAGAACAGATTTGTAAAAACAAATGGCCTATGGAAATGTGTTTTCTAAGCTCTTATGTTGGACAGTTTGGAATCAGGACTTCAAAAGGGACTATTTCCTGCTAGCAAGTTAATCGAGATTTGTCATGACACAAAAAAGTGCTTATGTAATTGGGACGTGTACTTGGATAAACTTACGTTTAGATGGAAGTATGTTTCTTACACCGCCATCCCATGCAGTGCTCTCGTTCAGAGAGATGAGGAGTTCAGGGCCTCGCCGCAGGCCAGGGAGACCAGGTTGGGTTCCTGCCTGCAGTCTTTTCAGTATCAGAATGAGGGGTACCAGGATGCTCGAGTGTCAGGCTCACCCCCAGAATCCCTGTGACAGTACAGGTCCCCACAGCATTGTCAGTGCTGAAGGAGTTAGATGAAGAGAGGAGTCACTGGCCAGTCAACTCCCTGTCTCGGCAAGAAACTAGACAAGCGGCACACCACATGGCTTCTGAGGAAAATTGGTATATTCCACTGCTAGAGAGGAGGATGCAGGGTCACTGCCAATTTTGAAATCTGCCTGTGGGCTCCAACAACTACCTCTTTGACTTGCAGAAACTTGAAGATTGTGACAGAAAAGCCATTCACCAAATAGACCAGCTTCAGCGAGAGCAGCGACACCTGAAGAGGCAGCTGGAGAAGCTGGGCATCGAGCGGATACGGATGGACAGCATCGGCTCCACGGTCTCCTCAGAGCGCTCGGACTCGGACAGAGGTGAGCCCTCTCCCTGCGTCCTCAGCCCCCTCCCCTTCCCCCGCCCTCCCCTTTCCTCTCCCACCTGCCGGCGGCAGAGACGGAACTAAGAGCCTGCTCGTGATTTAGAGAAGTCAAGTAGTGTGGCCTCCAGGAATAAAGCCCTCTTTCCTTTTAGCAGTCAGGCACCAGCTTCCGGAGAAGGGCTTGGCTGGAGCTGCTTTGATTTTCAGCCTGGGTTTTCTGAAGAATGCCCTCCCCCATGCTCTCTCTCTTGTCCTCCCCACAGAAGAAACTGATGTGGACGTTGAAAGCACAGACTATCTCGCGGGGGAGCTGGACTGGAGCAGCAGCAGTGTGAGTGATTCTGACGAGCGGGGAAGCACGCAGAGCCTCGGCAGTGACGAGGGCTACTCCAGCTCCAGCGTCAAGAGGAGAAAGCTCCAGGACAATCACAAGACGTGTCTTGGTCTGTAAGAGAGCGCGGTCCCTCCGGCGGCCTCCCGGCTGGTTCTCCCTGTTGGATCGGATTAGGTAGTGTATTGGACCTGCCCACAACTCCCTTGCACGTCAGCTTCGGTGTACCACATTGACCAAATCAGCTTTGTACAAGTTTCCAAGGAAGTGCTTAGGATTGTGGGTTTCTGACTGCATCCACGAGCTTCTCTTTCTCCATAAAAATTTGTCTCTGAGAGACTGTACATTCCAATCAATTTGAAGCACCCAAGAATTCTTAGACTGAATAAGCAACTTTCACATCCCAGCAATTTTCCCCTCTTCCTTACTGTCCCCATGTAGTCTACCAGACCTTTCTTAAAATTTTCTGGCTTACTGTGTTATTTGCCTAGCAGAAATGTACGAATGTGTCTTGTGCTTAGGAAACTGAAGGAAACAAACTTTTCAAGTTGAGATCCTGATCTCAGCACTCCAAAGTAAGCTTTGAAAGCAGCATTTCAGAGCACTTACCCGTGGACCTCACCCCCGTGAGGAGTCAGGAATACCTCCAGAAACTCGCCCTTCACACACACCCGTGCTAATCCCCTGCCCCGCACGTGGATGGGAGCAGTCTCCTCACTTTAAGATGGACACCTTGATGGCGTGTCTTTGGGGTTGCACAGCTCATCAAAGTTCCAACATTGTTTGTTCTCACGAACAGAACGGTACAATCTCTTTTTGTGCGATGTTCCTGGGACCGTGCTGTGTACTGCTCTCCCAAGGCACATTTTCCCCTCAAAGTTTGTTATGCTACTTGTCTCTGGAACATTTTTTTTTCCTACCTCAGAGATGAATGAGATCTCCATTTCCCACTTAACACGAAGTGATTATGCCTCTTTTTTTTTTTTTTTTTTTTTTTTGAATAAGTGACATTTGGTCCAATTCTAATGTGTTTTCCTATTTAACTCTCAGCAATAACTGAGCTTTGGCGCTAGCTGAGCTAGTGTCCATCTTCAGTGAAAGGAAAAGTCCACATTGCTACTCTCTCTGTTGCAGGTGAACAGGAGGGGATGGTATAGTGTTACTGTAATCCCTCTCCTTATTGTTTTGGGACACACCCAGAAACTTCTTCACGGAGGCTTTTGGGTTGGCAGTTTAAAAGGATGATTTCTTTTTGGTTATGATTTCTCCCTTAAGTGGTCTCCCACTTTGTAGCATTTTTATTTAAGCTAAAACAGAGCACATGTATATGTACATAAGACACATTAAATCTATAAATACTATTTATTCATTTTATATAAACTAATGTAATGGAAAATAAATTCTTATGACTTTGTGCTTTTATAGATGTTCTAGAAACTTTGTATGTAGGTATCTACAAAATTGGTTCACTCCCCTTAATATTTTTGCATTCATATTTTTGAGGTCTTGATGTTTTCAGCCTCTGGCGAATCTTTTCCATTGAATTTGAACCACTTGTAAAATCTGTGACGCTGAAACAGTATGTGTCACAAAGTGATGAGAACATTCCTAAAATCCACAGACGCACTGCAACCTTAAGGGCTCAACGGCTGAAGCCCGTGCTCCCCCTGGCCTGTGGTCTCTAGCATGCCGCAGCCTTGCAACTCCTCCAGCACCACCTCCTTCCACACAACTATCGTCAAGCTCTAAGGCATCCACGGGGAAGCTCATTCCATACCTGAAGAGCAGTCTAAACAAAGCGAGATTACTTTTTTCTTTTTAATGATTCTTTAATGTATTAAAAAAAATTAAATGGGAAGTAGTGGATTCCTAAATGATTCCCAAGTCCTCTGTAATTCTTCTGTTTTTGTTCTGTTTTTCTCATTTCAGGTTTGGGTGGGGGGAGGGGCAGGTGACACAAAGGGTTTTTTTACCGTTGGAATCTTTTCCAATTACCAGCTGAAGATTTGCACTGAAATACAACTTGTATGCCTTTTGCATTTTTAAAGCCTGCTTCCTGAATTTAAGCAGAGTGATAGTGTTCAAAGAGCCAGCTCAGCCTGTAACATGTTTGAAAAAGATATATCTGCACTTTGAGGTCCTTTTCGAATGCCATTCGCTAGACCTCACAAGCATTTTGTGTAATTGCTCCATTCAAGCGCCTCACGAGTCCATGATGCTGGATGCTGTACGGCATCGAAAACTCAAGACTTGGGGAAAAGCTTGTGGGCTTGCATTGGGGGAGGGAAGGGAACAAAATTTGTGTATTTGTTTGTTTAATTTAGAAATAAGGCATCTGAGAGATGTCATTATTTTCTGAGTTTTAATTGTTGTGCCTTTGAGTTAAACTGCATTTTTATCTTTTGGTTGGAATATGAAATGTACTGTCCCAATATAAAACAGTCATTATTTGACCTTTGCACTGTTTGTCTGGTCCTTTTCAATTTGATTGCATATCTAAATGTGGAACTTGATAGATCTCTATATTTTTACTGCACTTGTGATAAACTGGCACCAGGGTTAGACGTTACTTTCAAAGCTTGAGGTAGACGAAGCAGCATGCCAGGCAGGCCTCGCTCTAACCAAAACTGTAAACTTCAGGACCAGCAGACTCAGCCCAAGGCAGCTAATCCCCTTCCCCACATGGCTGATCAGCAGCCCTGATTCACCAATCTGTCCCCTCATTCACTGAGCCACCAGCGTGACTGTTGAGAGCGATACAGTCTTTTTGGTTGTTTTGGTTTTTTTAAGCAAAATGAAAAAAACCTTTCTATTAGGGTTGTCGGGGGGGGGGATGGGCAAAGATATAAACCCCAGCCTTTAAGACTTTGACAATTGTACGTAAATATAGATGTGTATAAATATAGGCACGGGCCTATTTTTCTGTGAAAATTGATTTTAAAAAGCTAAGGAAATCTACACTCTTCTTGATACCATTGCAATGCAAATAGGAAAATAAGAGTAGGTAGTCCAGTTTCCTGCAGAAAATATATATGTGTGCTTCTGTTAACATCCCAGAAAACAGCTTTCCATGCCTGCTGGCTTAGAACGGCAGGCCGAGCACCCAGGGTATCTGTGTTTTGGTTTTCTTTTCTAAGCAGAGATCTTGAATTCTTCAAGGTACTGAGAGAGATTGCTGCCTCCTTTCTCTAGTCACAGACCTAAGGCAAGTTAGTGATTCAAAGAGCACCAGATCTGAGCGGGACCTAGACTCTTCTCCCTGTCAACCCCAAACTAAAATAATTTCAGTGTCGATTCAGACTTGAGCACTGAGTTCGCCCTGAGCCTGCAATCGGCCACAAGAGTGGTTTTGGCTTTTTTTTTTTTTTTTTTAAGGTGGGCATTTTCCTTTAACTTCCACTTTTTTCAAAAGAAACAAGGGTCCTTACCTGGCTTTTCCTGTGCGCCTCTTCTCTGTCCTCAAAGTGGCCAAGAGCAAATCCTGAGGTGTGAAAAAAAAGTGTAAACGAGGCAGGATTGTGATGCTCAAAATAACTGTCTAGCAATATCTTGGGTCTTGCTAATGGGTTTTGTGGGCTTTTTGCTTCTTGCCTCTCCCCTATCCTTTAAAGAGAAAACTTATTTGAAATGTATATATATACACGCATTATTATTTCAGGTACAAACCATCCTGTACCGGCAGAATACAACTTTCATTGTGCTTTCTAATCTATTTGTTACCCCGAATCTTGGGCATTTTTTTCTTCCTCTTTCCCCAAGTCTGTCTTCTCCGTTTTCCTGCACTGTGTGTTGAACACCAGGAAGTCCAGGCTGCAGGGCAGTTTCCTGCATGTCAATCTGTTCCTTTTCTGTCTAACTCTTGGATGCAGTGTGTTTAGGTAGCTGGCTACTCCCCATTTTAAAAAATCCTTCCTGGGAGAAGAAGACCCAAAGACCCTTTTAGATGAGGTGGTTTTTCTCACTCTACGTGATCAGATCTCTGTAGACTGTGGGATGTTTTGTTTTTGAAACACTGGGGGATGGGGATGGGGGGATGGCAATGAGTGATTTATCATGAGTTGTTCATTAATATTTGTTACATGGATTATTTTCTTGTACCATATTTCGCTGAAAGAAGAAATAATTGCCTGGCACTGCTAGAGTCAGCTATTGAATGGCTGAAGAAGTTGAATATCTTTGTCTTCTCTCAAAATCATAAAATGAGAATTAGTAAGGCACCCAATTCTAAGATTATCCAGATTTTAAATTTTGACTTCTTATGCTATCTGAGGGTGGGAGGGTTGAAGGGACATTCTTCATTTTAGCTTTTACCTGAGAACCAAACTTGCCTTTACCCCTAGTCCCTGGAATTGGTGCTCTGGGACTATTGCTGTTAACCACCGATGTTGGGGGCCATCTTCCTAACAGTAAACACAGCCTAACCAGGGAGCAGCAGATGAGCAAGGATGAAATTCTGTTTCTAGATGTTTTTTTCTTTATGTAAATATGACGCCAATGTAAATCCTGTGTCAAAACATAGAGAATGGTGCTTTTTACTACAGTTAGCACATGCATTTTTAGAACTATTACGTGTTTTAGAGAATCTTTGCTGTGTATATGTAAACTGTATTGTTCAACTGTTAACAAATAATAAATTATTTCATTATTAAAGAAATTTTGGTCTTCCTGATTTTTTTGTACCCCAGTTTGAACCCTCATGGTGTTTACTTACAGAACTGAGTTAATCAAATTTCTTTTTGTCTTTTAATTTCATGGAAAATTCACTGGCCACGAGTTTTCAGCCCTTGGATTCCGGGATAAGAGTTGCAATTGTGTGGCTCTGGTTGAGCCTACTTGTGGGTGAGAGTTAGTAACAGTGCCAGCTGCTCCACTTACCCAGTTCGCCTGCTCCCGCACACGCTCTTGGCACTCTCTTCATCGTGACGCCTCTGAGGATGCGGGCAGTGTGCCGGGCTGCACAGCAAACAAGGCTGCCCGTCTTGCCTGCAGCCCCTGGTCTGGTGGGAAAGATAGAGATGACTCACAATTTAACGCAATATGGTTCGCTGTGGCATAAAGCTGTAGAGGGACGTGCTACGAGAAGTCACAGAGGTGGTAGCATTTGAGTGGGGCCCTGGAGAAAGAGTGGGTGTTTGCTAGGAGAGGAGCCTTGCAGGGAAAAGGACTCGGGTGCACGGAGGCAGGTGTTCAGGAAAGGGAATAGCTCATGGGACTGGGCTGTGGCCTGAAGGCTGGGAGCAAGTGATGGGCGACGGGACACGTGCGGGGAGGATACCACACTGTGCAAGACCTCGTGTATCACACGATTCACTGAGAGGAGAAAAGGCGCCCGGTTTAGGAGGTTAGTTCTGTTATATATTGACCCCTTTGGCTAATTTACATTTATTCATTCACTGAACCGATAGGGACTGCGTACCTGGCTCTGTGCCAGGCTCTGTGGAGCTGAAGGCACATCAATAAACAAAACACACGCAGCCCTGCCCTCTGAAGCTGCCCTCCTCATGTAACTGACTCACTTGGGAGCTCAAGTCCTTGGCCTGGCAAGTCTGCTGAGCCGAGCACACCATCCTGACCTGACACTTCTTGCTCCTTCAAGAGAGCACCTGTTCAGAGTCAAGAGGAAGGAAAAAGGTGACTTTCTCCTTCTTGACTGTTGACTTCTTATTCTAAAAACCACCTAAAATTTTTGAAAGGTGTTTATGGTGCCCTAGAAGTTGACTACAATGGCCTACAGCCTGCAGGTCTTATGAAAAAAGATCTTTCTGGAACTTCTCCTTGGGGAAAGTGGCCTAGCTCTTTTGCTTTCTCCAAAAAACAGGGGCCATGCGCTAGGCCCTTCTAGGATGTGTGATTCTAGGATCCATCTCTGTGGACAGGCTCCAAATTGAACCCAAAGACTGAATTGTCAACAGCATCAAAGAAAGCGATGTTCTACCACAGCATCAGGACCCCTGTTTGCTGTGGCTGAGGAAAGGAAGCTTTGAACCGCAGATAATTACAGACAGCTCTCACATAAAGATAGTCTCCCCCACAAGATGACAAATCTTATTTCCAAGGTTTCCTGACTGTTTGTTCACAGTAGCCTGATGGAAAGCGTCCTTCATTATGCTGTGTAGGTCCATGTCATGATCATGGTCAACGCTCATGAACTGAGTGCTTACCCAGTGCTGAGCACTCCACTCCAGGGCTTCGTGAGCTCTCACACCAGCCCTGGGGGTGAGTGCTATCGTTACCCCCATTTCACAGATGAGGAAGCTGGCGGAGGGTTGAGGCATTTTGCTCCAAGTCCACAGAGCTGGTGAACTCTGACTCCAGATCCCCACACTCCGTTGCCTCGATTTTTGCAAGAGCTATATCAACCTGTAATCAATTTTCCATATATAGCATCTTTTCTTTTTAAAGGCTTTGAATGCAGCTATTTTCCATGGAGGGGCCTTAGGTTCCAGTTAATGGGGCAGAAACTGGGAAAACACAGGCAATGGTGGATTGTCATTGCTAAGTCATCACCACTCTCCCCGCCTCCCATGATTTTAACTTCTTTCTCTGCCTACTGCGAGGAATAACCGCCAACTCCTGAACCTCATGGGGATTTTGTGGCAATAACCCAGCATGCTCTTAGAGGAAGACCTCCTGTGCAGGAGTTGAAGACATTCACGTCTTTCTGGTTGTGGACCCTGTGACATCACTGTACTGATTCAACCAGTATTTATTAAACACAACTTCCACCTAGGCCTTGGAGTCCCCATTATCAAGTGCCAACTTGGTCTGCTTCTTAGATGTCACTGTGACCTACACAAGGAGGGGCACCCCAAGGCTCTCTGCCAAGAGACTCTGTAATAGCAGTCCCTTGTTCCCATTGCCTGCTTGGGCCTTCTCATCAACTAGGGACATTCAGCTTCCAGTGGCTGAGGGTCCCACAGGCAGGAAGCATTGTTCAGGGCTCAGCACCAACTGGGTGGCAAGTCAGCTCTCTGCCCACTCTATCCTATGTGGGATTCTTGGGGTGTCCATGAGGAGATGAGGTGGATGCAGCTGCTGACTGCTGACTAGGGGTGAACAAGTTGCCCAGAGGGAAAGGCAGCTGCATGTTGGGAGAGAGTGACTAAATCCACTTTCAAGCAGGCAGGAAGGCAGGCTCTGCCTGGCTAGAGCTGGGAGCCTCCCTCCATGTGAGGGAAGGCAGTAGCTATGGTGAAGACACACTCAGGATTTAGTGGGACAGCTGAGGTAAGAGCCAGTGCAGAAGCAATGAGTGTGGCCCCAAGGCCAAGACAGAGCTGATGGAGTGGGGACACGGGGGCTGGAGACGTTCACTGAGGCTCTGGGGGAAGAGGGAGGAGCCTTTTATAGGATGCTCTTGGCCTCACCCAGGGGCAGAGGTGAGCGATGACACTCAAGGCGGGAGCTGTGTGTCAGGAATCTGTCTACCTTCAAGGAAACCATGGTCCTGGGAGAGCCTAGGGGACAGAGGCAAGGGAGAAACGCACCAGCCCCACCAACCCTGTTGGCCACCCAGAAGGCCCGGCTGGGTAACACCTGGAGCCTGTCCCCAGCCCTGCACAGCGGCCAGTGGGGATTGGAGACCCAACATCCATCTGCTGGAAAAGTTGTTCAGTTAAAAACAGAGGGTTTGGGGGCCGGCCCGGTGGTGCAAGCGGTTGGGTGCTCGTTCCTCTGCGGTGGCCCGGGGTTTGCCGGTTTGGATCCCAGGCGCGCACCGACGCACCACTTGGCAAGCCATGTTGTGGCAGCGTC